CACTCATCCCAGAAAGCATCAAGACAATCCAGCCACAACACCTCACACACCCCAGGATCCCAATCCCCCACCGCACACAACATCATACCCACTACCGCATAGACCACCCTTCGGGTGATAAGGAGGCGAGGGGGGAGGAAACCACCGTCGCACTCGATCGATCTCACTATCGATCTCGCTACCGATCTCATTATCGATCTCATTCGATCAATCTCACAATCGATCTGGCTATCGATCTCACACTCGATCTCACAAACGATCTCACTATCGATATCACAATCGATCTCGCAATAGATCTCACAATCGATCTGGCTCTCGATCTCACGATCGATCTCACATTCGGTCTCACGATCGATCTCACTACAGATATCACTATCGATCTCATTCGATCGATCTCACAATCGATCTCACATTCGGTCTCACTATCGATCTCACGATCGATATCGCAATCGATCTCACAATCGATCTCACAATCGATCTGACTATCGATCTCACTATCGAACTCACCATCGAAGTCATGATCGACCTCTCGTTCGATCTCACTATCGATCTCACTATCGAAATCACAATCAATATTACAATCGATCTCAAATTCGGTCTCACTATCGATCTCACTATCGAACTCACTATCGATCTCACTACCGATTTCACACTGGGTCTCACTATCAACCTCACTATCGAAATCACAATCGATCTCACAATCGATCTCACATTCGGTCTCACTACCGAACTCACCATCATCACCATCATCATCATCATCATCATCGTTGTCAACATCATCATCATCATCATCATCATCATCATCATCATCGTCATCATCATCATCATCACCGACGGGACACCGACGGGACACCGGCGGGACACCGCGGGGCCCCGGCCGCCCGGAAGGGAGACATTTGGTCCGGCCGCGCCTCAGCCACACGGGACACCAGCGGGACACCGGCGGGACACCGCGGGGTCCCGGCCGCCCGGAAGGGAGACATTTGGTCCGGCCGCGCCTCAGCCACAGGAGACTTTCTTCTCGCCCGCCCACGCAGCTTCGCCTCGCCCGCACGCACGGCACGCACGAACACGAAACCGAAATCGATTTCCCGGTAGGGGGGCTCTCCGTTCCACTTCGATCTCACCCCCTCACCTCCGACAGTCCACTGACCCCGCACCCAAGAGGGCCGACCACAATCCAAATAATCCAGTCCCAAAGAAGGGAATCACATGCGCACCGACATAACGACCGACCACCAGCTCTGCAAACTACTCCCAGAACGCCATCGAGGAAGACCGACCGACGGAAATACGCGACTACAACTGGGAAGATACGTGGCGAACGGCACGCAGCGGCAAGGTACGCCCAGACTGCCTTGCCCCCTTCCGCCGAATAGTTAACCGCGGCAACTGGCAGCAGACAGCACCACCCAGACAGACACCGCAACCAAACGACCCCCCCCCCAAACCAACGACTCGCCGACCTACTCGCTGCGCCGCCTTCGTCCGACACCAATAGATCAGCACGACGAAGGGGGGACAACTGTGGCGACGGACTACGCCAGCGAGACCTTCCCCGACACATTCGCAGCTGGGTGTTTCTCAAGATACTCATCGCATCCAGCGATCACACATTCAATGCCAACCCCAATTCGTCCCAACTTCGTCCCAGTCCACTACAGCACCCTCAACAACACATACTAAAACTGCCCAGGAAACCACTACCTCATCGACGGATGCCACTGCCTCCTGAATAAGAATAACATCGGACACTGAACCATCCTGACAGACGTGCATATCCACACGTGTTCATCCTTGCTCCTACAGTAACTCATGCCACCACGACCAGCTGTCGATCACAATATAGGCGTGAGTCTACCCATCCCAATCCCCGAATGTACCACCATTCCGGCAGACAACTCAAGCCTACGTCCGACCCCGAGAGTTGACGAAGACTCACCCACACACATTGAATAATATTGAATACACCATCACTTCGGTGGAGCAGACGTGCAGCACCGACCAAGACTCCCACCTTGACATAGACCTTAGAAACCAAAACATATGCAACATGACCAGCCCCCCGCACCCCACCAAGCAGATCAGAGTCAACACCAACGCCTACGTCCACATCTCGCAGTGGTTCACTCCATAGTTGCGGACGGCTGTCCAGACAACCTCGAAGTGGCAACCAATATACTACCGATATGACGCGACAAAACATCACCCTGAAGAGGAAACCCACCGGCCACACATACACCAGCAGCAGCGATGACTCGCATCATGACTCAGATGGCCCACCTCCTACACCAGCGAAGTCAGCACATCATAGCACACAACCTCACCATAGCAAACACAGCGACCCCATCGACTCCCACCAGAGCTACGACACACCACCGATCGCACCCGCAGGATGGATATCGATACCACTCGACCCACCTCCAGCAAAGCACCCGCCGCATCCACCTGCCCATACGCGCTCAGCCATCTCGCCAACATGCCGATGCACCTGGGCACATTGCTCGGCGGCGAGCGAGGGGGGGAAGTGAGAAAGGGCGGGCCTTCTCAGAAGGCTCGGAAGTCCCGCAGCCTTCTGAGAAATTGTCTGAGCCTTCCCCGAAGACACGGAACACTTGTCAGAGGGCGCGAGGGCTTCTGAGAAGTCCCGCCGCCTTCTGAGAGGGCCTTCTCCTTCTCACCTCCCCCCCTCGCTCGCCGCCGAATCATTAGTGCAGGCAATCATCGAACAATGCTCCCCACCCAAGGCACCTCCGGCCACCCTGGCGAATCCCAACAATCAAGACAACCGTCACGCACCCAACGACCGCGCACACACACAGCCGACGAGACCGGCGTACACACATGCTCCCGAATGCAAGACCAGCACCACCAGTACCATCGACGTCACCCAATACGCCATGGACACAAGCACCACACAAAGTATCTCCAGACAGAGGCAGGGATTGGAACGCGGGTATTTGGAACTTCGTCGCCAGCAAAGATAACCAGCACATCGATCCAGACGCGCCTGGAGAGACGCCGCGCATCGCACATTCCTTTCCTACACGGAGTCGGGGACGCCGTGGGCACTGGAGGGGTTGGGAGGGTAAGGATAGCCTGTTGCCTGCAGGTGCACTGCCCCCCCTTACATGTCTTTTATGACCATCGGCCGCCTGCATGGGCGCTGCTCAGCACGCACTGCCCTCCCATACAGGCGTCTGCACCGAAGCCCTCCTGCAACCAGGACCTTCAGACGCGTTTCTGTGCTCCACTCTGCCTGCACTCCCCGCGCCGCCCCAACCACAAATACCATCCACCGAACACGGATGCCGGATGCCTCACACCGCTTGCAGAGCTGGCTGGCAGCGACAGCACTGGAGCCAGCTCTTGAGTGCACCAGACGTGTACCTCACTGTTTGACCAGACCGACCACTATCTTAACTGACCACGACGCTGCGCAGCCAGCTCGCGATCGTACCAGGGATGTGGAGGAGGCCGTGAGGATATGGTGAGGCTCAGGAAAGAGTGGATCTCATGCCTTCCCGACTGCTCGGAGATACAATTTGGCAGAGGATCCTCTCCGCGAGCCTGAACAGGTCACCTTAGAAGGCCGGCCAAGATGTGCCGCGCCTCGCAACCTTGCCAGCCATCCGTGCAGCAGGCGTACCTCCACCTTCTTCCAGCGATCGCAATGCCGTAGGGGACGACGGCGGGAGACGCAAGCGGTGGCGGCGGTGGGGATCGGATGTCTGCGCGCAACCGTCCAGCGCACGCCCGATGTTCGACACAGGCAGCAGCAGCTTTGCTCGCTCCAGCCTCGCTTTTTCGAGGCACACGCTGGTGCGCCCCTCCAAGGTGGAGCGAACCGCCCACCCACCGCCTTGTCCTCCACTCTCCTCGCATCCCTTGCCCATTCTCACCTCGCTCCAAGCTGCTACGAGCCTGGCCGACCTTCGAGTGACCAATTTCAAGTGACCAGCCCAGCTATCGATGCAGCCTGCACTACCGGCGCTCTTGCAGAATAGCACTGCGCAGCGACGTCCAGACACTGTCGTGCCTTTTCACGATTGGAACATACCGTTCAAGCCAAGCAGCAGTAGTATCCACATATACTGAAGGCATTTTTTGAGGTGTACAACTCAGTGTTAATATGTTTGAGGCTTGGTTCACACGATAATTTGCGCTGTTACTTTACACCGAGTGTAATAGTTGACATTCTAGCTTTCAGCAGGGCACATCCCACACTACGAGTTTCATGAGTCAGACTCCCGACGAACAGAACACTATAAGCCTGCAGCGCCAATCCACATACAAACATACACTTCCTCAGCTGCCACCAGCATGCCGCTAGTTGTTTGTTCCAGTATGTCGTTCTCGAGCTGTGTGATTGTGTTGGTCCTCATGCACCCCTCCTTCTATGACACTAGATGCCTGCTAAGATACTCTATGCCCTTACGGGCTCATTATCTTTCCCCCTTGCTCTTTGCGAATTTGCGCCTGCACGGCCTGTACTACGGACACGTCGGCCAAGTCGGTATGTTTCTCGTTTCTTGCAGCGGTGACGCTGCAACCCACGTGCGTGCCCCAGCCTGTGTAACGATGTAACATGAACAGGAGGAGGATCCAGACATCAAGCGTAATGCTTGTTCGCAACGTCGCCCCCCCAAAGGCTGGACCTCTTCTCAAGGACCAATTATGCATCCTCGGTCGTCGCTTCACGGTAAAGGAACCCAGTGAGGGCCGCTGGAGGCCGAAAACGACCGAAAGCCTAACGGCGAACTATCCGGCAGAGTCGGTCTAAGAACAGAGGAGGCGGAGGAGGAGGACGAGGGCAGGGAGGAGGCGAGGGGAAGAGGAGGGGAAGAGGAGAGGAAGAGGAGAGGAAGAAGGGAGGAAGAGGGGAGGAAGAGGAGGAAGAGGAGGAAGAGGAGGAAGAGGAGGAAGAGGGGAGAGAGGAAGAGGGGAGGAAGGGGGGAGGAAGAAGCGAGGGAGGAAGAGGAGGAAGAGGGGAGGGAGGCCTGATCTGTGGGCTCGGCCTCGGGCGGCAGCGCGAGACCCGCCTCCCTCACGGACAGCGCGCCCGCCAGGTCGGCGAGCGTCGGGAGCAGCGCCAGCGCCGCCAGAGCGTGCAACGTCATCGGTATCGGTTTTTGCCGGCGCCGAGCAGAAGGCGCCAGGAGGGGGAACCATCTGAGCATGGAATGCATGAAGGGGGTAAAAAGACTTCTCTGAGTTATGACTTCAACGAGTCATTTCAATTCTCACAGAATGGTGGAAACTGTGATGCGCCCGTGCGAATTGTGGAAAAGCGTGCGCTGACATTCCGTGACCCCCAGTCCTGCTTAGCTTAAATGGACTTCGCACCGCTGGTGAGCACTCCGCCGCCCCTGACCCCCTTGCGTCGTGAACACGAAACAGAGACAGCGAAACAGTGTTTCCTCATATCCGAGAGAGCGTGATCCACCGCGCGCGCCGCTTTACTATGGAAAATTATCCCCCTCTTCCTCCGGAACCCGGGAGCCCCCCCCCCCCCCCCCGAAATCCCCCCCCCCATCCTGCTGGACCCCCCCCTTCCCGCCGGCAAAACCCTCCCCCTCCCCTACCCCTCCCCGGAAAACCGGGGGGGGTCACTACCGGTTCGAACCCCCCCCCGTCGAAAACCGGAGGGGGTCACTACCGGTTCGAACCCCCCCCCTCGAACCCCCCCCCCCTCCCCCTCGAAAACGGGGGGGGGGTCACTACCGGTTCGAACCCCCCCCCCGCTCGAAAACCGAGGGGTGTCACTACCGGTTCGAACCCCCCCCCCCCCGCTAACCGCCAGCAAACAACTCAGGGTCCCTACCACCGTCCGCACCACATCCCCCACTGCTGTCCCCAGCACCACTGTCCTCACCACCAGTCCCCACTATTCCCACCACCGTTACCACTGTCCTCACCAGCCAGTGCCCGGCCCCACCAGTGTCGCACTGTCCCCACTGTCCCCACCACTCTTCCCACCACGGTTCCACTCCCCACTTTATCCACGGCCCCAACCAGTGTCCCACTGGCCCCACTGTCCCACTGTCCCACTGTCAACGCCGCTGTCCCACTGAGCTGTCCCACTGTTCCCACCACTGTCCCCACTGCCCCCACCACTGTCCCTACTGTACCTCTGCCCCATTATCCCACCGCCGTCCTCGCCACCGCCCTCACCACTGTCGCCACCACCACTGTACCCTCCACTGTCCCACTGTTTCCACCACATTCCCACTGTCCCCACACCACTGTCCCCACCACCACCGTCCCCACCACTGTCCCACTGTCCCCACTGTTCCCACCCCACCACTGTCCCTACTGTACCTCTGTCCCATTATCCCACCGCCGTCCTCGCCACCGCCCTCACCACTGTCGGCACCACCACTGTACCCTCCACTGTCCCACTGTTTCCACCACATTCCCACTGTCCCCACACCAGTCCCCACCACCACCGTCCCCACCACTGTCCCACTGTCCCCACTGTTCCCACCATTGTCCCCGCTGTCCCCACCAGTGCTCCCACCAGTGTCTCACTGTCCCCACTCTCCCCGCCATTATCCCACCACAATCCCACTCTCCCCACTTTCCCCGCGATCCCCACCACTGTCCCACTGTCCTCACTGTTCCCACCACTGTCCCACTGTCCCCGCCGCTGTCCCACTGTGCTGTCCCACCGTCCCCACTGTCCCCATCACTGTCCCACTGTCCCCACTGTCCCCACCACGTTTCCCACTGTACTACTGTCCCACCACTGTCCACACCACCGCCTTCACCACTGTCCCCGCCACTACTGTCCCCACCACTGTCCCACTGTTCCCGCCACTGTCCCGCTGTCCCCTCGCCATCGTCCTCACTATTACCGTCCCCACCACTGTCCCACTGTCCCCGCACCACTGTCCCGACCACCACCGTTCCCACCACTGTCCCAACATCCCCACCATTCTCCAACTGTCCCTAGGAGCGGGCATCGTTTGCCGGCGGCGAAAGGGGGGGGAGGAGGGTTCGAACCGGTAGTGACCCCCCCCGGTTTTCGAGGGGGGGGGGGGGAGGGGGGGTTTCGAACTGGTAGTGACCCCCCCCGGTTTTCGAGGGGGGGGGTTCGAACCGGTAGTGACCCCCTCCTTTTCATGATGGACTGGGTGGGGGGCGGGGTTCGAACTGGTAGTGACCCCCCCCCCAGTTTTCGAGGGGGGGTGGGCTGGTTAGGAACCCCTAGTAACCCCACCCGGTTTTCTGCCAGCAGTGGTAGAACACGCTCTTTCTCATATCCTAAGATGTGGTTATTGTTATCACTGGGACGCCTCCGCCTCCACTCACCAGCCTTTTGTTCTCTATCCTAAAGAACGGTTTCTTACTCCTACCCAGACTTATTCACCGTCAGGCTCGGACTAACTCATACTCAGATTTACTCATCTCTCCTCTCTATTCTCCTCCTCCTCCTCCTCCTCTGCTTTCCTCCTTCCCATCACATCTCTCCTCCTCCAAATCTCTCCTGTCCATTACGTCGTCACCACACTCAGTTCACACATACTCAGACCCACTCACACCAAGACTGACTCATACCTGTATTCATTCACGCTCAGACCCACTCATCCTATCACCTGCTCGTGTACGAGCTCACTGCCACTCAGAATCACTCACGCTCAGACTCACCCAAACCCAGAGCCACTCGTGCTCGGACCCGCCCACACGACGACGCACTCTCACACAGCGCCACTCGAGTACAGACCCACTCTCAGCTGGACTCGCCCGCAGTCGGACTCGCAATTGCGAGACTGCTCCAGGCGAGGAGCCGGCTCCGGCACCCCACGGGGGAGCCGCCAGGGGGTGCAGGACACTCCCCAGCTCGCGCCCAGGTCGTGGGGATGCCCCAGGCGGCGTGCTGGTGTCACACCCCAGGCTTCTCTCCCTTCCGTGGCCCCATGCTCACCGCGATGGAGCAGGCGTGGCATTTGGGCACCCCAAGGTGAACCACCGCCAGGGGGGGGGTAGGACACGCTACTGTTCGCGGCCAGACTGTGTGGGTGTCTCAGGCGGCTTGCTTTGGTTTCGCCCGTCCCCCCGCCCCCAAGCGTTTTCTTTTGGCGGCCCAGTGCTCACCGCGATACAGCATGCGTGGTATTTGGACACCCCAAGGTGGAGCCGCCAGGGGTCGGGCATTCCCCCGTTCGCGGCCAGATTGTGGAGATGTCTCAAGCGGCTTGCTCGGGTGCCCCTTCCCCCAAGACTTCTTACGCTTGGCGGTCCCATACCCACCACGATATAGCAGGCGTGGCACTTGGCCACCCCAGGGGGGGCCCGCCAGGGGGGTAGTTCACTCCCCTCCTGCTCGCGGCCAGGTTGTGGGGATGGCTCAAGCGGTTCGCTTGCTTCGCCCCCCCCTCCCCCGAGACTTCTTTCTTTCCCATTTCCTGCGGTGAATAGCTCGTTCCCCAAATCCTCAGATGGGGTATTGCTACTACCCTGACGCCACCGCCTCCCTCACATTCCTCATCTTCCCTCCGTCTTCCTCACACTCTTACACACTCATACTCAGACTCAATCGTGCTCAGGCTCACTCACTTTCACACTCAGACTCACTCTTCACACTCCGACTCACTCACACTCGGACTCCATCACTCTCAGACTCATTCACACTCAGACTCATCAAACTCACTCGTACTCACACTCGCACGCACCCACACTCACTCATACTCAGATTCACTCACACTCAGAGTCACTCATACTCAGACTCACTCATACTCAGACTCACTCACAGACACACTCACACACATTCTCATCAGCATTCAGACTCTCTCGCACTCAGACTCGCTTATACTGAGACTCACTCATGATCATATTAACTCATACTCGGATTCATTCACACTAAGATTCGAAGGAGCGAGGCGCTTGTTTCAACACCCAAGGGGCCCAAGGGGGAGCCGCCAAGGGTGATTGCACGGGTCCGTTCGCGCCCAGATTGTGGGGTTGTCTCAGGCGGTTTGCCTGTTTCGGCCCTCCTGACCCCTAGGCTGTCAGAGCAGGTCGTGAGGATGTCTCAAGCGAGGCGCTGGCTTCAGCCTCCCGAGGGGGAGCCTACATGGGTGAACGCACGGGCCCGGTCGCGCTCAAATTGTGGGGATGTCTCAGGCGGTTTGCCCGTTTTGGTGTTTGGATTCCTCTGCTTCCAGGGCGCGGGATGTCTCGCGCGAGGCGACAGTTTCTGCACCCCAAGGGTGAGCCGCCAGGGACAGCGCGGCGCTCATACAGACACTCAGACATCCAGTCCTCGTTGCAAGTGCGTCTACTCAAACACTCACACACAAACACACGCCCACACCCACACCCACACACACACAGAAGCACACACAGACATACACACAAAAACCACACATACATTTGCACACACTTACACTTACACTTACACTTACACTTACACTTACACTTACACTTACACTTACACTTGCACTTGCACTTACACTTACACTTACACTTACACTTACACTTACACTTACACTTACACTTACACCTACACCTACACCTACACCTACACCTATACCTACACGTACACGGACACGGACACGGACACTGACACTGACACTTACACGCACCACACACACACACACACACTGCGGGATACCTCAATACATGAAATGCACATATGGGGTCTCTGCGCAACGCGTGATCACTGTTTTCGGCCTGGGTGGCCCACGGGGCCTGGGGCTGGCAACAACACGAGGGCTCGGGGTGCGAACCTGTCTCCAGGGGAGAGCGTCGAACTCGATACGCACCCGCTGCGAACACGTCACGACGTCGAGGCTCTGCAGGGGCGGAGGCCGAAAAGATCACGAATCTCTGTTTCGAGGTGGGGGGCCTGGGGCGGGGGGGGGACCTCCAGGGCTCGGGGTGAGGGCCTGTCCCAGGGAATGCGTCGACATCGCTGCGGGCCCACGCCGCGAAAACCTCACGACGTCGAGGGTCTGCAGGGGCGGAAGCTGACATATTCGCGAGTCTCTCTTTGGGGGAAGGGGGGGGGGGGGGGGGGGCTGGGCCTGGGGCGGGCGGCGGGGGGGGCCTCGTAGCCGACGGGCCAGGCGCAGCTCGAGAAAAGCTTGCCAGGACAGTGTCCCAATCGTAGGGGCGC